AGTCTCCAGTTACCTTAACTTCGCTGCTGATTTCACTCATAACTTTACCAATGGACTTACCTTTGGTGCTTTCTACCTAGTAGGGTGTGGTGTGGGCATGCTGATTACTTGCCCAGTCATTCTAGAATTTTAGATCCGGATATTTTTGTATCAGCTATAATCTAGCATCTGCATAGAAAATCCAAGATATGTCAGACTACAAACAGATGTAGTCTATGATTGCTTGAAAGGATAAACTACATGAGTCTCATGCTTATTTATTTGGCATCACCAAACTGTAACACACTTACCAACTAGAGTCAAACTTTGAAGGATTTTAAGTGGAGCTAGACCAGTAGTGATCAAATTACCATACTTCTTTGTAGTAGCCTGTCTGTAATAGTAATACCTTCTGTATAGATAGTGTTTGATTATTTGACATAATATTTTAATTCTGAGAGTACAAGACACATAATTACATGTATATCACTTATTATTTAAAAAGTAAAAAGAATATCAGCCAGCTATTCCAATGTTATGCAATCATTTTAAATAAGCTCTTTTCTTGATCCTAAGAATTGTATTATAATTATTTATATCAAATTATAATCTCACTTATATATTCAGCAACTGATGTCTCTTCTATTTCACCAGCAGCAATAGCTAGTTTGTTCCATGTTGCTTCAATATCATCTGTAAGCCATTTTGCTAAACATTCTCTGAGACATCGCTTAGCATCTCGTGGACACTTATCCTCAATAATCTTCAGATCATCATGAAACAGACCCAAGTAGAGAGCAAAATCAAACCATTTGATAGCTTGAAAGTGACCATCTTTTAAGACTCGTAATATCTCTGCTAAATCCCTGATAGTCAATATAACTATAAACAAATAAATAATATGAAACTAGTGACAGTGAGTGGTTATACCTTTTTTTGGACCATCATTGGACCCTCTGATCTGTGTGGGTGAGTGATTTGTAGTTGGTTTGACCTTTTGAAGTGTTGGCTCTACATGTACTGTATATAAAACTATTATACTAGGGCCACTTCAAGTTGACTTTTAAATCTGCATAATGTAATAACTTTCTTATTTTAAATGCTACAGACAGCGGTTTTTTTTTGCATTATGATCCTCTCCAAAACCCCGGTATTTTGATATATGATACAACTAGAGCGCAGTTATAGAAAAGGAGAAGTAAAATCAAAGCACATGGACACTTGAAGAGCACTTGACGCCATTACTACCACCACGTGCGGTTATCGCGTAGGCGGATAAAATAAAATGGCCGCTGCAGCAAGAAGTGGGAAACAGACTTTGAACAATGTACTGGACTCAAAGGAAAGGCTAATACAATTATAGGTAAAGTATATACATAGGTAAGGAGAAGAGCTGCATAATCGTGCAGCAAATGCTAAGATAGGTAGCCATACCTTTTTTACATTGTCTAAGCCTTTATGCTATGCTTTTGAAGGTAGGATTTGTATATATGCCTCCTAATAACAATACTTACTACTTTTCTGCTTTAGAACTG